ATAGAATGCAGAAGTGTTCTACAATTTGAGTCTACAAAGAGTGCAGCGTTATTGCATTCACGTTCACGAAGCGTTGCTGACATCGCGTAGTGTGTAATGTGTTGATAACCGACATAGTCTGGCACCTTGTCGAAGTCTGCCAGCTGCGCGATCTCCTCCCAGAGACTCAACATGATGTGCTGGTACTTCTGGAGGCGCGCGGCGCTGCAGTCGCCCTTGCCCTCCAGCACGCAGGTGCGCAGTGCCAAGCAGTGGAAGTCGTGCGCATCCAAGTACCCATTGTTGTCAATATCTGAAGACAGATAAATACTTATTTATAGGTACTATCTTTATTATTATTTATGATTATTATTTCTTAGATGGATTCTGCATCGCATGATGCGGAACACTTCAGAAACAGTACTAAAACATACATATGTTTTGTCCGCTAGTTGTAGGTAAGTAACGTACCATAAACTTCGGTACCTATAGTAATACGTAGTGGTTTAATGCACTTGAGTGATTATTCCCTGGTCGTCTCAACGTCACTATAGTGAGGACAAGTGCGAGGTTCATTAACATTGTAACAAAACGATGTCGATCCCCAATAAATGTCGCAACTAGTGAGCTAACGAGCCGCGGCTGCCCAGTTGGCCGCCCCTGCATGTAAACAATAGGCGACTATTAATTTAATTGCTTTACTCATGCCAAAACCCAGGGATCCTTCATTTCGTAACCATTAGTGATTTTTCAAACAGCCATCGTAATATAATTGATGTCGAAGATTGAGTGCGCGGGTGTTTGACGGACAGTAATGTAAGTACATCAATATAATAACAGATTTCACCAATTATAAGAATAGCCTTGGTGTTAAAATAGTCTATGAAGACATCTGGGTACCTATTTCAGCAACAAGGAAACGAGATGTTTCACTCGCCTGCTAAATTATTAATAAGGGCTACAGACAAAACAGTGTCTGGTACTAAATAGTAAACATGAGTCTTGAGGGCCATCACCTTCACGTTTGAAAAAAGAATACTACTGAAAATTAATCTGTACTGCCGGTCGTCAAAGGCCAAATGAAAAGACATGTCAGATCAGATCATTGGCAATGTCTTCAATGTAACATTTCCTAAAGGATCATGTGGTAGCGACATTTATAAACTAATTTTGGACAATGTGTAACCACTTGCATAAATTAATGTTCCCAACTCCAAAGACCAGATTCTGTCCTAAGTATAAAGAGATTTCTCAACAAGTGCTGACTGATTGGCTATTGGTATTTAAATGGTGGGCGTAAATGATTGCTCATTGAGTACTATACCTGTCTTGAGAGGTTAGTTTATAGGTATCTGGGGTGTAGTAGTAAAGTAGTAATTGAGAAATCTTGGCAGGCTTGTCACAAGTCGTCGTGAAAACATTTTGTTGTTAAAAGATTAATGACCGACTTGGTTTCATGAATTCTATGCAGGTCACTGTCATGTTTGGGTGTTTAGCGTTAATTTAACCCATTTGAAAATTAAGGCTTGATGATGGTAATGCAGAAGAAGACTAAAGAAACTATACATGGTGGGAAGATGTCGACCCACTTCCACATAAATAGGAATCCTAGAATGGATGACATCTGACAAGGGATAATGGCAAAAGGAGATAGAAAGAAGAAATTGCCTATTTAGCCTTAGTGATGTACCTACTTACCTACCTCGCTTCGTAATTTTCCACCATCCGAAATACCAACCTAATTAAAGATTCCCCCAAGTTCTATATTTCCGTCGGTTAATTAATAACCAAGGCGGCAGCTAAGTCTAGCTAATGGATAGCTACAAAATCGTATAGGTAACAGTCCTATTACTGAAGATGTTAGATGTCCAGTTGTGATTAGTTTCTGCCTGCAGTAGTGGTAGGTATGAAAATCGAAACAAAGCAAACGGAAACTAAAGCAAATGATCAAAATTCAATAAAAATTAAAAGAATGAACGTCCATTACTACTTATAGATACTTATTGTGGATTGACAATGCAATTTTACAGGCTAAAACCACTGCCACTGCCTCGTTGGCCGAGTGGTCGCAAGTGAGACTGCCGGGCAAGGGGTCTCGAGTTCGATTCCCGGGTCGGGCAAAGTATTACTGGGTTTAAAAAAAATAGGCTCACCCCCTATTACATGGGACTCATAACATAAATACTGAAAAGTGGGTGTTACATTGTACAGTGGCATAATGTGCACCTCTGGCTACCCCTTCGGGGATAAAAGGCGTGATGTTATGTTATGTTAAAAAAAATTTCAGTAGTAGCACGGAAACTGGAATTGTGCCCGGTATATGGCAATAGGCTCACCCCCTATTACATGGGACTCATAACATAATAATGAAAAGTGGGTGTTACATTGTACAGTGGCATAATGTGCAACTCTGCCTACCCCTTCGGGGATAAAAGGCGTGATGTTATGTTCTGTTATGTTCAAACCAAGAATATTCTCTCTAGCGAACAAATAGAGAGAGTATCTCTAGTGTGAGCTGACTGAAAAAATGATTCACACGTCTATACCTGGATATTACACTATTTACATTCATAAAATAAGTTGCTACGGAAGCATCATTTATCCAGTGTTTAATGTTTATCTCAACCAAGCAGAATGTTGAAATGCAAGCATCATTAAAAGAATTAATGGATCTGCAAATCGCTGTCTGCAAATTATTGTACACAATGCATGAATGAATCAGTGTCCAAAAACTAAATACTGTAATCTAAATACTCTAATCCAGATATTGCCGTGTAAACTTGTAGCTATCATAAAATATCAATTGTTTCAAGAAGATAAATGATTTTTAAAAATAAAGACATAAAGCTGGGTCAAGTCCAACGATACAAAACAAACGACAGGTACCTATTGTTTGAAACATCGTTTATGTATCTAGACGTACATAGATGACGTTGAAAGCGCTATAAAATGTATGAGTATGATTTTTTACTACGGAAAATTATATTTTGTGACGAATTTATGCTTTGACGTTCAAATGAAGCTGGAACTGCATAGGTAATGTTTCATTTAATTATGTGGCTATGCTACCTTCAGACCTGAGGGTCTGAATAATAGAATGCATCATCTTAACAAGGAGGACAGCAGATAGTACCTAGTAGCACTTGATTGATTTTAGACTATCATTTCAGTAGATATTCGATTTAATTGAAGCTGATAACAAACTTACAGCTTCACCCAGTTTCTATAATACAGCATGCATAATAACAAATTTGTAATAGGTACCTTGGTAGGCAAAGTTTCCTAACGCCTGTAAATTCTAGAACGAACGCACGCTGTTAATCACTACAAACACTCACCGTAGAGGAATCGCACAACAAAAGCAACTCTGTTGTCCCACGAATAGGCCATTTTGAGTGATGAACTGTTCGTATGTTTAGATGGTGTGTCGTTGTCCGGGTTTGTATTAGCCGGGTTATAGTGGCGCGGCGGCGGTCGCGGCTCTACTGACGGCCGCCGCCCGCGCCTCTCCGCTCCGAATAAACCAACGAAATAAAACAATATTACAAGACGACCACGTCACCACCGACACCCTAAATATCTACGCAACGCCGTGGACAACCCGCTGTACGTTTGGCAGGGACACCACGGGCCCAGTGGCCTCATCATGCAAGGTCGTGGGTTGCATTACAGCGCATCTAATTTAAACTGACTTTTATATCCACTACCGATCAACGGGTAATTATAACTGCACCAATGACTAATGAAGTACCTACTGAGCATCACGTTCGCAAAGAAATATTTTCATTTATAAGTATCATTGCAATTTTTATCTGTTTGTAATTGATTTAAATATTTGCCTATTACTTATATTGTGCTATTTGTATCAAGGCTCAAATAGCACTTAATATATTAGTCGAGTAGTCACAAGCTTGACCAGTGAGCAAGCGGTCTCGGGTTCAATTCCTGAGTAAGGCTTTCTTTTTTTTTAAGGGGGGGGAAATCATCTAATTACTGCTCCGGCCTGAGTGAGGCGGGAGGCAGTGTCAGACTATTATCTACTGACTAAAATCCACCCCGTTCGTGCTCCTGCACTTCGAGCCGGAGCCCCAGTAACCCGTTTGGTTCTCCGCGACCTAAGTAGGGCTTAGGAATGCTATACCTAAGCAAGTCTAAAATTACCATCTATAAAGTAAATTCTGTACAAGGTACCTACAGAATTTACAGGGAATTTATAAGGGATTGGAGACTCAAATCGTTGGAAAGTAAAAAGCGTGATGATGTGTTATAGTGGGTGACTGTAGTGGCATCGGTGTTTAATGTTTTGTAGATAATAGCTAATGATTATCTACATTATTAGTAAGTCACCTATAGCTATAACACCATAATTCAGTCTGCTGTAGCCTGAAAAAGCCCTCAGCTGCGATTATTACATACTTTGCTGTTCTTTACCAAAGATGATTATTTGAAACCTGAGATAATGAATAGGTATGACAGCAGTCTTCACGGTGGGAGCAGTTATTTCACCAGCGGTAGTTGAGCAACGTGTTGCAGTTGCAGCATCGATGTCCGTACGGAACCGTTCTCTTTACGATACACAAACTTTCGTTATGTTCACAAGTGTAATGTCTAAAGTAGAATAATGTTTAAAAAATATGTATCACAAATAAATATGCACCCGCGACATAGAACAACTCGTAATGTAATTTAAAATTACAAGAGATTACAGTTAATTATAGGAAATCAAGCTATAATTTTATATATTATGATAGACATCATATTGAATAGACCAATGATTTTGCGATTTTGCTCATAACAATCTTATTTATTTATAATTTTAAAATGAAAATAGTTATTTATCACGAAATATATTTGCATTGGCAATACTTTTGAAAGTTAAAGTCAGTAAGTTACAATCATAAGCATTGCATAAAGCTCTCTATCCTCTTCATACATGGACAAAACTTATAATATTGTCCTGCTCTATGGCTAATCGCAGTGTCAATGTCATTAGTGTCATTGTCAAATGAATTAGTCAACAATGCGATTTCGCCAACAGACTTGCTGTTCTTGTTTTGTAATTATTTAAAACTTGTCTATTTTGAGACAGAAGTTGAGTAGCCACTAAACTAGTGATTGTGCTTTAACCCTACTAACCATATTTCAAAACAAGATATAAATAACCGACACATTTTAAGAATGAGTGACAAAATCTATAGTAATTTCGTGAAAGCAAGTTCACCTGTAGAAGACGTAAATACTAAACAGGATATTACAGTGTTAAGTGGAGAAGAAGCAAGAAAATTATATCTTGAAGAGGTAAAACACGCAAAAGCACCAAGCAGGATCAAGACACATGGAATAGAAAAAAAGAAAAAGGTTACAGAAGAAGAAACACCACTATCAAACAAAGACTTGTTTCTTACAGTACAAAATAATGATATTGACAAACTTAAATGTGAACTAGATAGATACCCTGATAAGCTAAATATTGTTGACGAGTTTGGCTGGAATTTACTGATGATAGCGTGCCAAGTAAACTCTGTCGATGTTGTAAAACTATTATTAAAAAGAGGAATAGATATGTCTGTAAGAGACAAAGCTGGTAATTCCGCCCGAAGTTTAGTGATTAAGAACAAAAATTATATTCTAGCTGATATTTTACTAAGATACATACAGAAAGAATCTCCACTGAAATCAAAACCAAAACAAACATCAGCAACAGTCAAATTGAAAGAAGAATATTTGTGTAACGCTTGTAACAAAACGTTTCCTGATAGAGAAGAACATTTGTCCTCAACAATACACAATATAACAGCTAGTAAAGGGAAGAAAATACCGGCATGTTATATGTTACCAGAAACAAATAGAGGATATCAGTTAATGCTGAAAGGAGGATGGGATAAACAGTCTGGTCTAGGCAGAGATGGAAATGGCAAACTTTATCCTATTAAAACTGTACAAAAGAAGGACAGAAAAGGCCTTGGGCATGCCGAACAAAACCCTATAGACAAAACACAAGACAATGTTAAACATAAAAATAGAATGAAGTTGGCAAGAGACCATCGGAGTGACAAATCATTTGAAATAAAGTTTAGACGTGAATTTTACTGAAACATGTCGTTTTATTTTATTTTATGGTAGTGATAACAATAATATATTATGTATTATAACAAAATATTTATGTACAAATAAGTTATGAGCTTGACATTAAAATATTAAGACCTGTAAGATTGATAAGATAATTCATAATCTTACATTGTATTGTGTCACCATGGGTAATTTATATATCTCATGCTGTTAGTTACCAGTCTTACAATATCTTTAGCACATTGTAATGATAATAAGTGAAATAGTTATCAACAAAAACCATCCCAACCTCGTATAGGATAGGATAGATAGTAATTTAAAAGTGTTGCTTGAAAAAATATATTTATTATTTGCTTTGAAAGGCATTGCACATAATCTTTTTACAGATGTATAACAACCTGTTATAATAATACTTATAAATATAATACATTTTCAGAAGAGGCATCATATTGCTTTTGTGCGCCACTGCATTTAAATAATCATAAAAACTATGTCATGAATTAAATTCTTTTACTTGAGAACTTTGTAGTGATCATAACAAAAATATATTCGTTTTTATTTTACTATACATAAAATACATGTTTATGACTTACAACTTCATCTACTTTTCCTTATAAACTAACTATGATACTAGTATTATTTTGCTCTATAAACACATTTGACAGATATCAAAGGTTAGGGGCCACCCAGTTGAGGAAGTTCACAGCAAGTTCAAATCCTACAAAACATGCTGCATTGGCAGGGAAAGCTCTGAGCATGACAGGTGTCACTCCTTTGTATAAAGCAGTAGGACCTTCCCTTTCCATGAGCTGTCTAAATACATCCCTCATGCCATTAGGATATGTTCCTTCAGGAGCTGTTTGCAGTCTGCTCTTCAATACATCGGCCGGCATGCCTACCAGCCAGTTAGCTATTCCAGCACAACCACCAGCAACTATTGTTGCCATCATCTTAAGTTTAGCACTGGCGTCTTGGGGGACCAGAACTTCTTTGACCCATTCATAAGTCATGAAGTACATACCACTGGCAGGCACATCTCTTAGTATCGTGGCCACACTGCCCTTGTATATGCTCCTCATACCACCCTCAGCGTAAAGCTGCCTGGCACAGTCAACCATGCCTGTGTATTTTTGTGGTACATTGCCACCCTGTTGAATCTGAAGTAGACACTTGATGCGCTCCCCTGGTGCCATTATGGATGTAGTGAAAATACCAGAGAAAGCACCAGCAGCAAACAGTTCCACTTTTGATAAAACTTGATCTTCGTCTCTTTTAATTAGTTTCTTACCGAGTCCGAAACCAAAGAAACTAATAGCAAAAATTGGAGCTACCCCAGTTAAGGGTGCCGACATACCCTTATACAGTCCTCTGAATCCTTCTTTCTGTATTGTCTTTTTAAAGCAGTCATATGTGCCAGCGTACATGGCAATCTCCCCGGATTGCGGCACTGGCATAGTCTGTAGTCTTACTTTTACAGTGTCCATGGGATGGCCAGCTAAAACCGTGCAAACACCACCAAATCCACCACTTAAAAAGTATTTAATTGGGCTACTATTTTCAGACATTTTCGTTTCGTTTATTCGTTCGGAGGTGAAAGGATATATAGCCTTAGGAAACTGGTTCTTAGTCGAAACACTAAATTAATTTTAATCAACAAATTGTCTGTGTTGTCTCATGTCAAAGTCCAAAATTGCGTTCCAGTTGACGCTCTCCCTTCACTAATTGTGAAACATGTAGGGTAGTTAGAAATATTGCTTTTTCTCTTTTATTCAATGATGTAGTCCAATTACAAATATCTACAATTTTGTTTGCCAACGGTATAGTTATGAAATACTTGTTGAATATAATAATAATTAGAAACAGCTTTGTTAAAAATTTGTAAAAAGTTGACATCCGCGATTGACAAAATCTTGCTTGACATTGATGGCAGTTATAAGTTGTCACTCTGTCAGTTTATCAAACACAACAGAGAAAAGTTTTGTTTTGTGTGGAAGTGAGGCGAAATAGTTAACATGTTGCTTAGATTTGCTGTACTAAAAAGCATATAAATTAGCCGAACATAAAATACGAAATTATACTAAATAAAAAAACTGATTAAATTACTAAAATGTCGTGTTCTAAGGAGGAAATCGAAAGAAAACGCCAGGCTGCGCTTCAGAAACGACAAAACCTGCTTGCTAATCGAAATACTCCTGTAAAACCAAACCCTACGCAAAGTGCTCAATGCAGGAGTCCGCTACCCTCGTCATCAAATAGTGGTTTTAAATCGTTTACTAGTTATTCAAATAGAAGTCATCCTTACGCTAAACCTAATGTTTCTGGTGGTGTTCAAGAGAATAATGTTCCTGTGGGCAAAGTGGTCAGTGGAACTGTGTACCTGATCTCAGAAGACAGGTTTGAAGTGAACCCATCAGAGTTTTGTACACCTCTCATAAATATATTCAAGAGTTTGCCTTCTAAGAGTTATGGTGAGTTAGTTTTCATTTATTATTCAATTAAAATATGTACCTACTTAGTGTAATTAAGTCAGATATAGGTCAAGCCATATATAACAAATATAAAGTTTTCAATAAGAAGATGATAGTATAAAATTAATCTTATTGGAATTAAATTTTACATACTTAGTAATATTTTATGCATATTAGCTATACTTGTCAAATTTTAAATAGGTAATTTTAAATATTTCAGATTCAAAATCAAAGTTGTGGAATTTTTCAATCACTGATTATCAGCAGCTGATGTCTAAGGTGGCTCCATTGGCACCTCATGTAGTGTTAGGCCCAATCCCACCGTATGTACTAAGGGTAAATATTTTATCTTCTTTATTTATTGACAAGCGACCGGCCCCGGTATTGCCTATGCAATATGCATGTATTATGCATGTGTAAACCTTATTTAAGAATAACTCTATCTATTGACACAAACCGCATCAAAATTTGTTGTGTAGTGTTAAAGATCTAATCATACATTGGGACAGACAGATGGTGTATAGCAATGTAGTGATAAATTGTCGTAAAAATACTTTGTTATTTAATGAGGCCATTACCAAATAAATCTTGCTAACAGTAACTATAGTACTTTAATATATATAATCAGTAGATATTTTTTTGTATCTACGATTTAATTTTACAATCATTGTTTAATTTTTATTTGTCCTAGAATAACAATTTAGGTTTTACCCTTTTTTCTAAACATGTAGGTACTGCGAGAGGATGCCATGGACCCCAGTACTGTAGACTTGACTCCTATTGAAGTCACTTTAAGACATAAACTCATGCCATTCCAGGAAGAAGGAGTAAGGTTTGTTATTTATTTTATTTTATTTTATTTTATTTATTTCTTCTTCACAAAATACAGTGAATGGCGGACTTAATGCCTTAAGGCATTCTCTTACAGTCAACCATCACTTTTTAAAAACATTTGTTTTTAAAAAGTTGTGTATTTCTAAGAATTTTAAGTTGCTTCATGGCGTCATAGTCACACGTGCGAATAAGAGGTGCCGGGTAAGTGGTCTCGGGTACGATTCCCGGGTTGGGCAAAGTACTACAGGGTTTTTAAAAAATATCAAGTAGTAGCATGGAGTCTAGAATTGTGTCCGGTATATGGAAATAGGCTCACCCCCTATTACATGGTACTACATACATACATACATAACTTCACGCCTGTCTCCCATGGGGGTATGCAGAGACTAAGGAACGCCAATTACTACGATTCTTACATACCCCTTTTGCTTTAATAACAGTCATCAATCTTTTCATGCATGCTTGTCGGTTACATAGTACTTATAACATATATAGTGAAAAGTGAGTGTTACATTGTACAGTGCCACTATAACTGTAACTGTACGATGTATGAATGTAACACCCACTTTTCACGACAAATGCCGTAATGTGCCTACCCCTTCGGGGATATTAAGAGGCGTGATGTTATGTTATGTAGTTTTGGATCAATCAGCTGACTGACTTACAAATCAACTGGTAGACAATTTTATTTTAAGAAGTCAAAAGTGCCTGTATGTAATAAGTTCATTAACCTAAAAGCTTTGACTTTTTCAGTAAAGTATACCTAAGATTTATTTTTTTAATAGGTTTGGTATATCCCGGCGAGGTCGCTGCATGATAGCGGATGACATGGGGCTAGGGAAGACCTTCCAAGCGCTTGCCATCGCCAGCTACTACAGACACAACTGGCCACTGCTCATTGTAACCACGTCTTCTATGAGGTAAGAGAAAAATTGTATGTCCGATTACCTATTACAAATATTTGTGTCTAGGTGGCTCAGAGGTTTAAGATGATTGCTTCTCATGCATGAGGGTGCGGCTAACATACCTACCAATGGGAAGTACCAATGTGACTTGTGTACTTTCTAAATTATTTAGACACCACTGACAAACGGTGAAGGAAAACATTGTGAGGAAACCTGGGCTTATAATTTCTAATTGTAAGTTTGAAATCGCCAACCGTCATTGAGCAAGTGTGATGATTAATGCTCAAACCTTCTCCGTGTGAGAAGAGGCTTTGCTCAGCAGTGGACATTTATAGGCTGTTGATGATGATAATGATTACCTATTATAAATATTTTAATAGATTGTTAATTTCTTTTTGACTGCACGGTTGGTGCGGTGGCTGGGCAACCGGCTGCCGTGTAACGTGTCGCGGGTTCGATTCCCGCACGGAACAACACTTTATGTGATCCACAAATTGTTGTTTCGGGTCTGGGTGTCATTGTGTATGTGAACTTGTATGTTTGTAAAGGCACCCACGACACAGGAGAAAATCCTAATGTGGGGCAACATTTAAAAAAAAGTTATTATTTTCAATTGACTACAAACATGATTACTTCACTTTAATCCCTCTTCTTTGTTTCAAAAATAGTTACATGATATTATTAAAAATTAGCAGTACAAAGGCAGACTAGTTTGAATCAATAACTTGAATATATTGTCCTCTGTCCAGGTTTACCTGGCAGTCCAAGATACAGGAGTTGCTCCCTTCAGTTCCCATGATGAATGTAGCCACACTCACTAGTGGGAAGGATACTCAACTTGTTGCAGACAAGCAGGTACATTACCAAACATTAATTAAATAGTATACATAACATAACATCACGCCTTTTATCCCCGAAGGCCGGCAGAAGGTCCACATTATGCCACTGTACAATGTAACATCCACTTTTCACTATTTATGTTATGAGTCCCATGTAATAGGTGGTGAACCTATTGCCATATACTGGACACAATTCCAGACTCCGTGCTACTACTGACATGTTTTTTTAAAAACCCAGTAGTATTTTGCTCGACCCGGGAATCGAACCCGAGACCCCTTGCCCGGCAGTCGCACTTGCGTCCACTCGGTCAACGAGGCAGTCAAGTATAAATATTTGACCATTAATAAAATCTGTGTGCTGTGCACCCAAGTTACTTAAAATAATTTTGAAATGGAATTTTACAGATTTTTTTTTTGTACAATATGTATTTAACTTAGAAGACAATATCAATTTGACTATGGATACCCTGTTGATGTAGTGTATTATGTTATTTATTGATTACGATATTATTATTTCAGACTGAAGTGGTGATAGTGAGTTACAAGATCACCAGCATGTATACAGATCTGCTGAAGAGTAAGAAGTTTGGAGTCGTTATCATAGTAAGTATTACTTTAACATAATTATTAAACCTTTCGTGAGACATACTAAATTAACTATTATGTTTCTGTCTTACTCGCGCAATGCTGCCCATGAATATGAGCCTCTAGCATAGCTTGAAACTAGTCGAGTTCCTTGTCGAACAGTTGCGTGACTAAGCCGGCTACATAATAATTTAACATAATTATCTAAAATTACTTATTACAGGATAATTAGTACTCTTTCAGTCTTTTTCTTAGTTAATCTTTCAGTAATAGACCAGAAGTCTGAACATTGCCTTTTTTGAAAACCTTTATACATACCTATTTGCTTAAAATATTAATTTTTTATAAGTTTTGTAAGTAAATAGATACTGCTATCGTACTTATGATAAAGCACCTACTTGTGATAATATTATTATCAATGCATTTTGTATGATAGGAGGCAGCCTTGGATAGCAATCCTTTATGCAAGTATGTTAATCAAGGATCCATGATTATTTATTATATCGGTAAACTTCACGTAGGTACAGGTTGTGACAGGTATTTTAGTTTACATGTTTGTTACGTACCTATCAGTGCTCTAGTTACTTGAGCTAGCTAGCTACTAGAGTCTAGTACGTAAATATAACATTGTTTCGATAGCACAAAGCGCAGTGGCTACTGATAAATATACCATGGATTCGAGTTCCCAGTCTGGGTATATTGAGTTTGAAATGCATTCACGACACAAGACAAAATTCAATTAATCAGTCAGTACCATGTTCTTTTTAACCGTGATAAAAACGTCAAGTAAATTAGGTGGGGCAACTTAAAACTTCTTTGTTTCTTATTGAGTAGGTTTAACTCGAGATGAGACCTATTTTTCATCAGTCATATCATTTATTTTAGTTAGACCAATAAGCAAATTTAAAAATCTACAAAGAATTACTGAGGTGCCTGTAAAGAGATTTAAAAAAAATTTATTTGAAAATGAAAATATCTGTCTCTGTACCACCCAGAGATAGACTAGAGAAAGAGTAGAAGATGAATACCTAAGGCACTAATTCTGACTA